CAAAATCTTTCCGAATTTGATTGATATACATGTAGTTGGTATTTGACAAAAATTTCTGCCATAGACTTCGTCATATTCTGCCTAGAATCAAAGAATCAATCAAATTGTTGCCTGCTCATGTACACACCACAATTACATATAGAAATACTGCCTATACAGGGAGGCTTTAGGGGACTTATATTTGGCGACACATATTTCCACAAGGATTGTCAATTTTGTTGTATGTACATTTATAAAGCTGGAAGATATTCCAGAATCAATTCTTAAGTATAGTACAAAAATAGTATTATTTGTCTGTGATTTTTTTTTCAAACCTCAATAACTCAGTCAATTTAGGTCACAAAGGTTAATAAACTATATATTCTTGGTGGGGAAATACAGGAGCAGGTTTTTACAGGTTCATGATGCTGTATGACATCATCTCAATTTTGGTGGTATGACATATTTTGCTGGTAACTGACCCAAAACATCTTGATAGCAGATGGATGTTATGCTGAAAACAAATTGAAGTTTTGTTGAAAACATTTTGGAGACATCGGATGTACTGGCCTGCCAGTGACCAGTAGTTGGGGGCTGTGCTTGTATGGAAATTTGGGGCAAAATCCTTCACAGCCAATGCCCTAAATTTTCATGTAGCTAAGGGAATTTGCTCTGTGCAAGCCAAGATAGAAGAAATTTGTTCTATTTTGGCTTGCTCCCTGAACTAATCTGTACCACAGTGTCCACCAAAAATGCGCTGGACGTCCGGTGAGCTATTTTTGAAGCAGTTATCCAATTTTTGTCCAGCAATTGTCCCCAAAAATATGCAATTACTCAGGCTCCCTGTAGGATGACCCAGGAGAAGGATCACCTGATTTCACTTGTCCCTAGCTTGAGGCTTGAGCTGAACGTGAGCTAACCTGAGTTGTTGAGACATTTACTTGCAGGGAGTCGAAAGAATCTTCACGAAACCTTCTGTCCGACCAGAACAGAGGAACCGTTCATAGCCTCTGAATATGTATGTACATGAGTACATAGACTTCTTTTGCACTCATTTGAGATCATCTGACACAAGCTATAGAGCTATTGTAAGCAATGTAATAGTCAACAGTAAGAAAAGAAGAGCTCGAGGCTTGTATTCCAGAGGAGGTGGAATAGGGTGGAATTGCCTTGCTCTATTTGGTACTATTTCAAATTTGGTAGGCCTGCTGTATTAGCTGATGTGAGTATTCAGCATTTTCTCTTATGTTTGCATGAGTTTGTGGTACATAATGACCGTGCATCAATTTTAGATATCACCGTGTCCGCCAAAAATGCGCCGGACGTCCGGTGAGCTCGAAACCCCTCCAAAAGTGCATCGCTTTTCGCGTTTTCGCAAAAACGCGCCAGCCCCGGGCGCGCGAGCTTTGCCTAAGCAACGTGAGCCAGATCTTTGTGTCTGAACATCTAAAACACGTGGCACAGAGGGTTCAGGCCTGAGTTGCTTGCTAAGGGATGCTCGCGTCCAGCTGAACTGTGTTTGCTAGTGTCCGAAAGGCACTAGCAACGTGCTGCAACGTCCTGAAGCAGTTTGCTCACCTCACATGAAAGGAAGGCTCGGGAGATAGTAACCGTGTATGATAATCATTTGACGTGTGTGAAGATAAAAAATATATTCAGATGATAATCGTTTGACGTGTGTGAAGATGAAGAATATATACAGGTGAGACTCCGAGGAAGATGGAAAGCTACAAAAATATGAACAAGTAAAGTATATGAACTAAAGTCACTCAGGATCGTGATTTTGTAAAGACTTTGATAGATCCGTCTGCTTGCGAGACCGATTCATGTATGATCATCGACTAATATATATAGATAAAAGATTGAAAAAATGAAAACAAGCCTCATAAAGTGAAAGCGGCACGCTACTCTATTCTTCATGTAACTCATTCAAAACTCTTGATGAGTCTGTAGTTGGTGCTAATGAGGCCCAAAATACTGGTGTTTTGTCTTCATCAAGAAACAAGCCGTAATGATGTCTAGAGGCGGAAGGAGCCGGAAATACGTCTGACATATACAGACGAACTGGAGAGCTCATCTTGTAGCGTTTATAAGGTTGTACTGATAGGAGAAAGATATTAGAAAGAGGGTTCTCTGAGGGAGATTGACATTGTAAGACGTCCGTACATTGCTGATCACGCCGCTGAAAAAGAGAGAAGCGGCGTTTCTTGGAGAAGCTTTCAGACTTGGTGCCCTTGTCGCGCAGGGAGGTTGGCACTACAAGAAGCAGGGAGTTAGAACCGATAGCAACCTGCGCCAAGCAAGAAATGAGATATTCTTACTGTTTGACTCATCAACCAGCGAGGTTTCCGACTTGATGCGCTTGGTGCGCTTGTAAGATTGAGCTACAAGAAGATGGAAATTATAAGGGATACTGACATAGGGCAAAGAACAAGATGAGAGATCCTTACTGTTCGAATCATCAACAATAGAAAGCGAAAAAGATCGTTTCGCAGGTCTGGAATACGTGGGTGACGATGGCGGAGCGACAGAGTTATGTGGAGAGTAGGAAACGCAAGGTGGAGGCGTTTGAGTGGGAAGCTGGGTAACAGAATCTGGGGGTGACGCGGCAATATTAAGCAGTGGACGCGGGTTCCTCAAAAAGCTGGGTGTAGGGGAAAGGCGATGGATGTCCAGAATTTCCTGAAAGGTGTCATGTCCTCCGGAATGGGCGGGGGGTGTTGAACCAGTGGAAAGTTGGTAGCTCTCAATGCTACGGATGCTTGTGGTGATAGATGGGGGGGCTGAGAAAACAAATGGGGTGAGGTGAGTGAAGGAGGTTGGTGAGAATGAGGGTGGTGGTATGGCGTAAAAGCTGGAAAACTGAGGAGTGACAAGTGAGGTGGTGTCGATGCTCATGCGGCTGCTGCGAGATGGGATAGAGATTGGGGCCATAGGGGATTGGGCGGTCTCGCCCAATTCCCGAGTCACGAGAGAGGTGGGGTCAATGTTCATGGGCAAATTTGGTGGCGAGAGACGAGCGTCGGAGGACGACACTGAGGCTGGGGTTGAAAATGATGGGTCGGCGGTTCGGCTAAAGGGAGGAAATCGGCGAGCTGTCAAAGCTGTCAAAATTGTGAGGATGAAAAGAAGAAGCAAAGAAATCGATCAGTAAAACGGAAGTTAACATGAAAAGTGAACAGATTGAAGATGGAGTTGCTGACCAAGCCAATTTCTAGCCTTGTTAGCGCAGTTCTTGAAATAAGAAAAAGTTTTTCGGAAATGTGGGACTTTCATGATACAAGTAGTAGGGATGTGTGGGAGAACACGTGTATTGAGAAGAGGAGTTATGAATAGGTGAGTTAAAAGCAAGTTGGTATGAGTGGGTCGTGAAGGAAGGAAAGTAGTTGCAGAGGTCAGTATAAATACACTGGCTGGTTGTCGGTGTTGGAGACCTCTCATAGGACTCGCCTAAAACGTGTGCTGAGATCAAAGATACTGAAGGGATCCGGACGAAGGGGAATGAGATCGATTGATTGACTTGCCTGCATCTGTGTGACCAAAGAAAGTACAAGGGTGGAAATGCATGTGGGTGAGGTAGGGTACGTATGTCCAAAGAATATCTGAAAGGCATCGGGGCAACGGTTGACGGTCTTGGATGTCCACGGCGGTTAACATGAAGATGAAGAGAAGAGAAAAACAAAGAGATGACTTATATATGTAGAGAGAAAGGTTTCAGAGGAGTGGAGGCGGTCTTATGAAAACTTTGTGTGACGTAGCTACTGGTTTTTAGATCTTGAAGCTCGAGAGAAAAAGGTATTTCTGAAACCAACTCAATGTTTACAAATTTAGTGCGTCCCCTAGAAAAAACTTCAAAGATGGAGAAAAAAAAACCATTTAAGTCATTTTCTTTTATGTCTTACTGAAAGCGTGATTGTGATACAATGGATTCAACACAATGAAAAGTAGATCACCATACATTTGCCATACATGAAAGGAATTTGTTTCTTTCGACAGGCATGATTACCAAAGAAGGCTGTCTTGGTGACACATTCAAAAAATTGTGCTCTTGAAAAAAGGGTGGGCGAATAAAGAATGATCTCTTGATCGGTATTCCCATAATCCCCTTTCTCTTTTTAAAAATACTCTTGGCAAAGGGGAGGCTTGTGATTGGTCACTCCTCGGAACACACCAAGTTCAATTCTGGACTGTCGAGGTTTGATGTTACAAGAGTTTTATCATATGTTTCACGAGAGAGCTTGTAGATCATTGTGATCGGAACAAAGAGAAGGATACAGACAGGGATACAACACTTTTGCAACAAGTAGGAATTCCGCAAATTTGGGATAAGTGAAGTCTCATAGGAAGGACCTTAAACAGGTGAAAACATCTAAGGTAAAAACATCTATCAACTGCCTTTGGTTAGCTGAAGCCATTTAACATGGGCAAGTACAGGCCTCAAATCATAATTGTGTGCGGATAGTTTAAGGCTCAAGATGACAACTCTTGAGACATGGCGATTCATGAATTGCTGGTCAAGTAGAGCTTGCGGAAATCCCTTGGGGGGTCGTGCAAGGTAATCTGCTTCCACTGCAGCAGCATAAGGCCCACGGCTTAGAGCTTTGACAGCGGAAGTGACAGCCTGGTCACCCTCCTGTTGTTTGATATGCAGGTTGTCCAACTCATGGAGGAATTCAATAAGATATTGATGCCGCCAAAGCTTTGGTTTTCGGTATGAGTGGCCAGCAGAGTCCACTTCATCTTCAGAATGAAGTGATCTCTCTGAAAAGATCGCGTGGAGGCCGTGGTGTTCCGGGAAAAACTCTTTGAAAGTCTTTTGGCGAAGCTTACAAACCTGCCAAAAGAATTTGGAATGAACATCCAATGATGGGATAGAAGAGGATTAATGTGATTGAAGCAACTTACCCGCTTTTGCGATTCTCTTCGGCGAGTTTTCTCTTTTGAAGCCTCCTGCTCTATTGCTTCGTTTTGATTCTCCCCAAGCGTCTCCTTATTGCACTGAGTTACATATTCGCGAGCCTTGGTGTTGAACCACCGGTCGAGAACTTGTCTGGTATTTTTCGGTGTCACCTGATTGACATCGATGTCATAATCATCGGCATCGCCCCTCTTGTAACACTTCTCCCACTCTTGGAGGATAAGAGAAGAGATGGCTTCATTCCATTTGGACTTGATAGAATCAGTCCAATCGTAGGTAAAGCGCGAAAATCCAGAAAGGGCCAATGTACCTTCGCAGGTAGAGGCAACGGTTGTTGAATAAAGACCACCTGAATTCCTCAGGGCGACTAGGGAGCTGAATTTGACAGGCGGAATTTCGGAGATGGCGCGCTGAGCCGCGTGATCGCCAACTTTAGCAAGCTGGGCAGTGGGAGCCTGTGGATTTTTTCGGAGGTAACGAGCACGAGCTTTTTTGACGCTCTCATCAACAAGGCGTCGGCGCTCGACTTTGCGTCTATCCCAAGCGCGATACTCGTCGTCGGAAGGTGGCGGAGGGAGTGAACGATTGCCCTTCCGACCTTTACGTTTGCGAACAATGCCTAGGAGCATGTTGTTGTAATGATGGATTGCAATGGTGAGTCGCTCATACTGAGAGCACTCTGCTGGAGGCTTGGCAAGCTTCTCATAGCGAGTGCCATCATGTCTTGCCATTGTATTTCGAGTCCGACGTGAATTTTCCCGATTTTGATACTTGCGATGTTCAGCTAGATCAAAAAGACTTTCCGAGTCGGATTCTTGAGTATCTAAGTCTTCATCCGACAATTGTTGTTGATCAGTAGGTGTTGCTGGTTGTACAGGGCCCGAATTGGGTTGTTGGTCATTTGCCGACATTCTTCTGAATAGATCATGATGAGGTTCTTGATTTGTTGACGTACCCGATGGTTGTTGATGAGTAGGTGTTGCTGCTTGTACAGGACGAGAATCGGGTTGTTGGTCATTTGCTGACATTCTTCTGAATTGGTTGCTTTGACCAGGATGAGGTTGTTGATTGGTTGACGTACCCGATGGTTGTTGATGAGTAGGTGTTGCTGCTTGTACAGGGCGAAAATGGGGTTGTTGGTCATTTTGGACACCTTGACCAGGTTGAAGTTGTTGATTTAGCTGATTCTCAGCGGAACAGATAGACATCATGGATGTTTGACGAACGCAAGAGGGGTTTGCAAAGGTTGTGGGCTCGGTTTGAGTTTGTTGGAAGATGTTGCCCTCAATTCTTGATGGTCCATCATGATGACGTGGGTTAAAAGATTGAGGTGGTGCGGAATAACCCGACGGCAAAACAAAAGAAGGTCCATGATTTGCTGAGATTTCAAATTGAAATCCATCCCACCTAGGTTGTTGTAGAGTACGTGGATCGCGCGTTTGAGAAGCTGAATTGGGAGCATGTCCAAAAGCCGGTTGGATTCGTTGCAATCGTTCTTGTTGGACACTTTGAGCGTTATTTTGGATCTGAGAGTCCCGGGTTGGATTGTTAAATTGGCAAGTATAGTCAGGAGCCAAATGTTGGAATGCAAACTCCTGTGGCCGTGAGCTTCGAAGATTGTAATTGGTAGAATCATCCTCATATGGTGGATTAGATGAATTGATAGTTGGACAATGTCGAGGTGGGTCATTGGTTTGATGGCCTATGTGGGGAGTACGAGGACCAGTTTGAGGATCGACATAGGCTTGATGGCTAGTAGGAAGGGAAGGTTGAATTGGATTGAGACGGAAGATCTGATTGTAGTCAGCAACATCTGTACTTGCAACACGTAAACCTTGTGTCCGATTGGATGTTTGGTCTAAATGAGCGGCTGAGAAATGTGATTACATATGATCAGTAAGATGAATAATTCATTGAAGTGATCAGGCAGCTTACATGTAGAAGTCTTATAAGGGAGCACTGGCGGTGGGTGTTGATAAGCAGATGCATCTACAGGGGGGAGGTTAGGTTGAGGATTGTTTTCTGGACAAAAAGTCATCCTGGAAGATCGACTGCTCTCGAAAATACTCCGATCTTGATCCTGCTGCAAGTCAGGGGAACAGACAGACATCCTGGTAGATCGCCCACTTTGAGAACCATTCTGATCTTGAATTTGCTCAAATTCACGGGAACATAACGACATCCTGGAGGATCGACCACTATGAGAAGCAGTCTGGTCTTGGTTCTGCTGCAAGTCGGGGGAACAGAGAGACATCCTGGTGGATGGCTCGGATTGAGAACCACTCTGATCTTGAAGTTGCTCGAATTCTCGGGAACAGAACGACATCCTGGAGGATCGACCACTGTGAGAAGCACTCGGATCTGGATTTTGCTGAAACCTAGGGGAAGGAAGATACATTTTGGAGTATATTCTGGAGGATGTTTGAGAAGGAGTTCGATCTTGATTTGGCTGAAATGTAGCGGAGCATGCTGAAGTCAACGCAGGCACAGTAGAGTGAGGTACCTTATGTTCTCCAAATTCGAATTGAAAGCCATCCCACATACGCGGTTGTAGGTAAGCTGACTGATGATGTGCGTTGGGTGGATTGTTTGGTTCATCAATATCATGAATGGCACTGGAAGTTTCAACATATTGTTGATCCGAGTGCGAACATCCTTCCTGCCTTCTTGGTATCTCTTCAGAAGGGAGAACAGATTGTTTTGTAATATTCAGAGGATTAACAGGAGCTGATTTGAACGTGACATCCTCGCTTGGGCCGTTTTGATGGGTAAAGACCTGAGCATCTGCTTGGCTTATATTTTGAAAGCGCTTTCGTGTTTCGGGTTGAGATTGCACAAGTGGTGAGTTGTTCACATCGATAGAATACTGTGAAGATGAAGTGGGAAGATTAAGAGATCTAGAGAGCTGCTGAGCATGCGCGTGATGTAGGTGCTGTAGTTTCCCTCCCATTGATTCTTGAGGGGTGCGAGAATGAGATCCAGGAGAGATCTGAGAGCCTACATAGGTTAGATGGGGTGAAGATTCATCTTGAGCTGTACTATGATCGTCATAAGGTGGCTGAGGCCTCAGGGAGTTATTGATAGAAGCATGACTTCGAGGTTGCTCATAGGCAGGGTTGGTTAAGCGGGTAGGATCGTATGCTGTTTCAACTCCTCCAATCTGGTGATGGGTCAAGAAACTCTGGGGTGACTGTGTTAGATACGAACTGTACAAAGTTGAAGGTGATTGCGGCTTTTGCGGGTGAGAAACTCGAAGGTGAGCAGAGGAGTTTGGCCTATCTACATTGGAATTGACGGAAGCGCTTTGAAGACGGTCTGGAATCATGGGAGAAGGTCTGTTGTTGCTTTTCATCGACTCCCGAGAATGAGGATGTGATTGACGGGGAGTTTCGTGAGGATAATTCGGAGGCAGATTGAGCAGAAGACCCTGCTGTAATGAGCGTGGGTGGGATCGTATGGATGATGAGTTTGATTGGTGAGAATTGCTTTTCATGGATTCCCGAGAATGAGGACGTGATTGACTGGGAGTTTGGTAAGGATAATTTGGAAGCAAACTGAGCGGAAGGCCCTGTGGTGATGCACGTGGGCTGGATCGTATGGATGATGAATCTGATTGGTCGGAATTCACATGAACCTGAGGGTCGTGGTATACCTGTTCCACTTGACCATCGACTCCCGTTCCAGGCTCCTGATGAGGAGGAATCCGGTGAAGCTGTGATAAAGCATGATTTGGAGAAGTCACGGGGATACCGTGGTTGCTGGACCGTGTACAAGAGCGCTTACAGTCCTGTTCCTCGACGTCAATCGAGATATGAGGACGTTTGCGAGGGAAGTCCTGTTCCTTGAGGTCATTTGAAATGCGAGGACTTTTGCAAGGGACCACGGGGATTTCCAAAGTCTGAAATCGTATGGGAGAACCGCTGTTGTGCCACGACAGTTGACGTACGCGCTTACGCTGATCATCTACGTGATGTGAGGGGTGACGACGCTTTTGAGGGATCATAGAGCCCATACGTTCACAGTCTTCCATAAGGTCTTCAGGTGCGACAGACAGAATGGCCCAATGATGATCTGTTGATTGTTCATAGGGTACTTTGGCGATTTTATGACGTGCACTTGGGAGAGTTGGAGCTCCAGGGGTGACAAGGGAAGGATTATACAAACCAGACGGTTCGAGCGCTAGCTGGTGAGGGGCGGCATTGTTGAGAGCGTGAGGTGAAGCAACTAGTTGTTCGAGGTCTTCAAAGAGCTCCGAAAGTGTATCCCGTTGGTCGATTTCATCTGTAAAGCAAGCCTTCCTCTTGCGGTGAGTAAGAGTCTAAATACTATTGGTGGTAAGTAGAGATGAGACGGGCTCTACTGACCGTTCACGTTGGCGTCCTCCGGGGAATCACCAATGGGGGAATCCGCAGCTTTGTTTTGACCTGGGAAACGAGTCGTGCTAGCTGAACCCTTAGGAATTGTCGCACCCGGTGACTCAAAACTAGGATTAAGCTGGCGATCTGGTGTTAAGGTGTGTTCGAGGTGGCCTGGGCAAAAGTAGATGTGCTTCGATTTTAGCAAAGACCGAGTCCCCTGAAGACAGTGAAATAACTTACCCTGATCGGTCAAGGACATATTGGTTACAATGAGTACGAAAGGAGGGTCGGAATTGGAGGTGAAGTATGATAGTGAGCTGTGTACCTGACACAAGATAGAGAAGATGAGATGAAGAACACTGAAAGCTAACAAGATTCGTCTTCTATATGTAAATCAGTGTCCTGATGTTACAGGGGTACAAATTTGTATGACAAGGATCTCACTCTTGAAAGAAACTCCACGAAAAAGTATTGACAAGAGTAGAGTTAGCGTGAAAGTCTTCCCAGCGGCCGATCATAAACCCCTGGTTTTCTCTTTGAGAGGAAATAAATTGACCGTTGATCAAGTGGACATCAAACGTAGTCCATGACTTGACAATATGCCTTTATTTCTTTCATCTGACAAGACGCTTGGCCTCCTCACACCTTTCAAGGCTGCTTTGTGGATGGCAATCATTTCAGGACTGATTTAGTATCTTCATTCACTTGTTGGCTTCCTTATAAAGTCCTGGCTCACCTTCCTGGAGAAGAGCTGTTCTGTCCAATAAGTTGTAGACTTGCCTTCCCGGAGAAGTGATCTTCATTAATTTTACATTGTTTTACATATTTCATACTTTGTTTCATTCCTAGCGAAGACCTTTTGAAATCTCTTTGGTTTGGCGATTGAAGCGCTTTCATATTTTTTGCTTGTTGGCCCTAATAGATTGAATCAAACGCATCCCCACCGAACGCAAAAACAATATTCAATCATCAGCTCTGAAGGCATGCAAGCTATGGTGGCTTCCGAACGTCAGTTGATATCCGTTGTCCTTTTGCAAACGTAGCTGCTCTAGTACATTTTGCTCATTGACTCTTTATGTTTGCTGTTTGCGAGAAAAGCGTTTCTCAATCGACCTATGCACTTCAAGGATGGGGCTGGAGTCGGATCTGTGAAAGCTCAAAATAGGGAAGTTGCTAAGTGGTTACCTCAGCGCAACTCGGGCTCTTATCAGGCCATCGTCGACTACTTGAAATTCCTGCTTGGCAAATTCAACTCTGGTGCAACCTACCCTGCTGGTGCAGAAGCTTTGGAACTCGATCGACTTCCTCATCTGTCTTTGGAAACTGTCCGCGCTGATTTGACGGTTTTTGCCAACGACCCTCCGCCGCCTAGTCCTTCCATAGAGAAAATCAAGCTCTTACCTCGACAAGATTCTTCTTGGTTCACATACAGGAGTCTCTTTCTTCAAGATCTTACTCGTTATTCAATCCCTCGTGCGACTCTTGCTTGGGAGTCATCTGTGGGCTCAGCTTGGAACCAGATAATGCTGGTGTTCTTAGTGAAGCACTGGCGATGGGCGCTGGCGCAAGGGGTATTCTCTCAATATTCACTTGATCTCAGATATTCCAGCGAAGCAATATGTAGAGCGGTCATGGAGAGGTGGATTCGAGGCAGAGTGGGACAAGATGAAAAATATCGCAACCGAAAGAAGAAAAACCAGAGACGAGCTACAGTAAGTTCTCATCCTGATGAATCCTTTCTCTTATTTTCTAATAACTGACATCTGTTCGCAGCTTTTTCGTTACCACCAAGACGCTTTAGAAGAGTTTGTCGAAATGAACCATAGAGACCTTCTTGTCCCCGCATTGAGCTTACTTCCAAGCGCTGCCTGTTGTTCGGATACCGAGGACGATGGACCAGGTAAAACCCGTGCTATTGGTATGATCTGGAGAAGTCGGGAATTCTCAGAGTTTGTTCATTTGCTTGATAAGCTATCCTTCAAACAACAAAAGTCTTTGCATGGGTCAAGATGGGCGGCAGGCCGCCTTGACATGAGAAGATCTCGAGCAATCCAGATCTCATCCCAAGGTAAAGCTCCTAGAAACCTTCCATCAAACTGTTACTGTCCTGTTTGGAGGGATTCTTTCGGAGAAAGCCATAAACAGCTCCTGACTCAAAAATCTCCCAGTCCAACTCTTACTTTACTGATATCCAAAATACGTGAATCACTTGTTTAAAATCATCTTGTTCATACTGCTTGTTTAGCACATCTCATATTTATGTACTTTGACAAAATAACTAACTATCCCTATTAGGATTTTAAAGAACAACAGGATATTTTACTTTTCAAAACACATATATTTGTACTCATCAGTCACTTAAGTGTTCTAACTCTTTATTGGTCACAGAATTTTTGTTGAAATTCAAATTCTCTCATTATCACCAATCTGTTGTGCTGTCCGCATCGGCTGAAATCTATCCAATAGTGGTCAGATAGGTAATCTAGCTCAAATCAAATGCCAAAGAGTGGATCAAAAAACTTACTATGTTCCGCAGCCCTACTATACCCAGTGTTTCGTGAGAAATACCAAGGTGACCGGGTGGATAGGGCAACACAATGACATGGCCCATAAGATCGCGCATGTCGATCACTGCAGACCGTTCTATCTTTGAGTATACAATGGCGGCCTGCAGGCGGGGGTGAGAGACAAAGCAATCCCGTCTTGAATCGCTTGCGTTCAGCTGGGTGAACTGGTCCACCACTAAAAACACTGTTTCAATTAGCTGTGTTCGAAAGGCATATTGTATATATCCAAAACGCCGCTGTCCCTGATTGTGATATTCGATTGCGCTGTTACCCTTACCTGCAGCGAGGTGATTGGAAGTATAATTCTTCCCAGAGATCTTAAGTAGTTTAGTGGTTTCGACGGTCGTCGACAGAGCAGGGCCGCAACTGACAATGCTATTAGCATTAGCAAACTTCCCATAACGTTGATTCAACTCTTCGTTTAGATGATGGAGCCATACATCATAAGTATCACGATTAAGACTCGTCGCCTTAGACCATCTCGTCTTCGGAGTCTCTGTAAGTTCTTCAATCACCTCTTCTCTAATTCTTGCGTCGACGCGACTTAGGAAGGTAGGACAACTGTTCAAGACGGCCTTGAATAGTCCTCGCCGATTGTAGGTCTGCGTCATTGTTTTATCTATGTCCGCTATGATTATCAATACAGAACATTAAGTTGATACATAGAGTCAACATTCATCTGTCCGCTCACTGTGATAGAACAAAGATCTCACCTGTGTGATGGTTTTTTGGGATTTTACTAAGCATACCTATCACACGCTCACCAAACATTGTGCCAGTATACGGTGGAGGACCAAACCGCTCAGCGACTTCGACAAGATGCTGCAAAAAGTGTAAGTTTGGCTTGACACTGACACCCTTCCAAAATTTACCGAGATGTGCGCGATAGCTATGCACCAACGTGTTGAGATCTGCCTTATCTTCTTTGGAAAAAGTTCGAGACATAGCACAGTTTGTAATCTCCACCAAGTAGATCAGGCTCTGACTTACAGCCTGGTCCTTCACATCTTTTGAAAGGTGGAGCTTAGGGATGATTGTGAGGACCATATAAACTGTGTAAAAAGTCAGCCATTCCATTGCACTAGTATTTCCAGACTTCGGGATACCAATCTTGATTGGAGGGCGAGTCATCCAAGTTGGGGTTTTTGCAGTTGAAATCGCACGTCGGATATCTATCAGATCATTCATTGTAAGTGATGGATTTTCGGGGTTGTTTTTTTTTGGCTTTGAAGGCTTTGAGGCGGCAGCGGTGGCTTTTTGTTTCCCTTTTGCTTCCGAGGGTTTGGTAGACGCGCGAACCGTGATGTTGGAATTGCTTCGAAGCCGGCCTGCACTTACATGTCTTACGGGTCGAACAACAGTAGCGATGTTTGAGGTACTTTGTGACTGCATTGACTGAATTCGACTGGACCGCCGTAGATCAGAGTGCTGCACATTGGAACTTCCAGGAGATGGAACCGAGATATGTTCGCTGGACGACAAGCAATTTGAGGCGCCTTCTGACTCAAGTGGAATTGAGGGATCGGGGTTCACAGAACTCGAGGTTTCAATTGAAGTTACAATTTTTGCTCTTTTAGCATCATTCATTGGGTGGTGTGTGCCACGGGGTCTTCCGCGTTTTCTAGGCACGGTTGATTTACTCGAAGGTGGCCCAGGTAGTATTCCTTGATCCAAACCTGAAGATTGAGCGACTTGCGAACTTGCAGATCCATCGAAATTGGTGACGCTCGACCAGTCCATGGGGACATCAGTGGTTTCGCTTGATCTTTCCACATGCATGCTGTTGTCCTCTTCCGAGTTGACGTTTTCGGAGGTCAGTAATTCTGAAGTACCAGACTGATTCAGATTCATGGATAAGGAAGATGTCAATATGTTTTCATTTCTCTTCACGAGATCACATCGGCGTATGATGGGGAAGATGCTTACATTGGCGTCTCTGGAGGACAAAGATCGTGTGACCCGCGGATTACATATATCTAAATGAGATTCGCGGTCAAGCTTTGCTTCGAGCTGTTTTCCCGCTTCACCCAGTCCTATAAAGCTGAAGGCGTGATCCCTCAATGTGCCAAGAATTAAAGAGTGCATCACGTCGATGGTGACAAAATCTGTGAGTCGCCAATACGGAAGCTCAGATAACACAGTATATCGAACACCGCTCGCTGAAAATATGTCCTCTTGATCCTTTTCCTTGGTTGCATCCCTCCACTCTTCTGCGTGTTTCTGAAGGTCGAGTCGTTCTGGCCATTCATCTGGCTCAATGATGTGTCGCTGTTGGTACTGAAGGCCACAGTGCGCACAGAAGAGCGTTGCGGTATGCGAAGCCAACCCTGCGGTTTTCCGTATGGCTGGGAGATCTGCTATGAGCGGCCATAGCGCAACACGTATCACACGCCCTTTAGGATGATCCGAGGTTGAGGTGAAAAAAATGCCTCTCCAAAGTTTTTGCAATTCAGCCACGAGTGGTTTCAAAAGTTCGTTCATTTGTTCCCGAGCTGGTTCGTACGGTCCAGGAATGACCCCAAAAAGAAACAAGTTTTCTTGCTTGTAACGTTTATCTGGTGGTAAATTAAAGCATACCAGAAGAATTATTCCGTGGGATTTTGCTTTTCGAGCGCCTCGGCCATGAGGATTAAACCAATCCACGAATAAGCCAAAGACCAGATTGCCACTTTTTGAAGTGTACGGTGTTCTTGAGTGCCCAAAGGATCTCCACATCTCACCGTCCCATATGTCACGCATTGTATCACTGTCATAGTGCTGGTGAAACGGAGCTTCGAGAGCAGCTTCAAACCCGGGGATATTCAACATCCTGGCCAGCCATGTTCGAAACGAGTGATAATGAAATTGCCGGCATGGTGTGGGAACAGCACCCGTATAAAGAGCTCGTCCGCACGGATGCCGTCTAACTGGAGAACCCCTCCGTGCATCAGGTTGTTTTAAGAAGCGTAAAGCATCGCACTGCGTCTTACAAGTTTCGTCAAATTTTTCAGCCGGTGTGCCATTCAGGGCAAAACATTCCGGACACGAAATCTGAGTCTCCACGCTGACCTCGAGATTCAGCATCGTATATAATGTTGGCAGAGTAATTGGTAAGTTCTCCCAGTAAGGCCGACCGGTATAATTGATATCTTTCGCAGTTTGCTCTATCAGTCGCTTGTTCATGTGAAGTAAAGTCCGGCAAGTCCGGTGTCTGACCCCTTTCACAATACTTGCATGTGTGACCTGTAGCATCCCAATCAGGCATGAAGGTCGCTGAAGGTAGACCTGCGGGATCTGATACGCATCTGTTGAGACGGTGTCAAAGACGTGCTGAGGATCCAGAATAATTGACTCATTTGTTCCTAGGATCGTTTGTGAGCTGCTTCGGCGCCTTCGCACTTCGGGCGTATTTGAGTCTACTGAAAGAGGCTCCCGATTTCGACCTTTGGAAGAGCTCTGGAATTTGACGGCTCCCAGGTCACCAGTACTAAGAGACCTTCGGCGCACCTGGGACAGACAGAATGACCCATCAGCCATCAGCCAAAAGATGATGAGATGCAATATACGTACCACATTATGTAGAGCACGTTGGAATGACGTGTCGCGAGCTTGAGACCCTTCGTGAGCGTGCAAAGGTGTTGATAAGTTCGCTGTCGCCCGTGTCAAGCGAAGCCTTCGCAGTTGGTTTTCGTGGTGCGTCCCGTTTTGCCTGTTTCTGACTTTGCCTTGACGAACAACACCATTGAGCTGAAACCTTTCAGCCCCACAGCCAAACTCTTCACAGCAGCAGATGTGTTGTCCCGTCATGATATAATATGGAAGTTGATCCGGCCGAAAGCTAATTAGGTCAAGGCGACTGACAATACAAATGCGATTCCGATTAACAAAACAAATGCGAGTCTGAATCTTCTGATGTTATCTGGAATGTATTCGTGGGAAGACTTAGTCAGATACATTTGAGATATGTTGCCAGGCATCACGTTACTGCCAAGATGACATACCAAACTGACCAAGCCTACATCAAGAGGCTTACCAGCCGTGAGGCATAATCATTTTGAGAACTCTCATTTCACGATGGAGGCAGACTTGGTTCATGTATTGTTAGAAATTACACAACTCGAGAAAGTGATCCATTGACGCAAAAACATATACAGTTTTAATGCATAACTTGGATACATATACAATCAGAGGGAAAACTGAAAACACTCATAAATTGAGGCAAAAAATATATACAGGTGTAATGCATAACCCAAAGATACTACAAGCAGAGAGAAAAAAAACAATGCATCTTATCAGACAATGGATAACTGGCGTCTCGAAGACATACATCTTTGAATCGTTGTGAGAAAGTCAATCATTGATATTTTTACGATCTGAAAGTACAATGAATGGTCAATAAGTGGCAGAAAATGTTGATCATAAAGAAAGTAAAACAAGAACTCACTGACCTCCTAAATTCCATAGTACGCACCGTACTGGAAGGCAACATGATGTTCGAAGAGTTCGATGATGTTTGCTTTGAGAGCGCCACATGGGATGCGCTGATTTGGCTTGAAGTGCCAGATGATCTGGCGAAGAAGATCTCGAGTGGTCCAATCCGGTAGCCACCCGGGAGAGAGGTAGCAAAGAAGATTGGGCGGCAAGGTCCAGATTTTTGACCAGTAGTCAAAATCTTCATGCACGGATGGAAGTGCACGTCTAGGGGGTGGTGTGTTCCTCCGTTCAATACGTAGAGCTATTCTTGAAGATCGGCGGCGCTGGGGTGGGGCATTTGCTCGTCGAGGTGCTCGTGGAGGTTGAGCTATTGGAACCGATTGGCCGCGTCGACGACATGGAGCTTCCAGAGCTAATTGTTCCATCGGTAGCTGTTCTACGGCCTGATCTTCTACTACGGGGTCTTCTACTACGGAGTCTTCTACATCAACCGATGGTTCACGCCCGTAGGCGTTCCCTTCTGGTACTGCCGTGATAAGCTGAGCAGGGGTTGGGCCGCCGCTGGAATTGGTGTTGGTAATGGAAGAGTTTCCCGCCATGGTTAGGTTGCCGTAGATTGTGATAGACATGATTTGATATGGAACTGTTGGAAGTGAGATAGGAGGTGAGATATTTCAGCTTAGTGATCCACCAAGACCCCAGGTAAAAAGATAGGAGCAACATACTCAGGAAAAGAAGCAAGTCAGCGTACTGGATGAATGAATTGGGTTGAGGAGAGAAATTGGGTTGAGAAGAGTTGAAAGTTGATTTGAGCTGAAGTGAATTGGAATCCAAAGAATCCGAATGCAAAGGTGGCTTTAAGTACGGTGGCAGTGCACTTGCAAGAACGAATGCCTTCTAAGAGCGTTAGCCCTTAGACCATCCTTCATTCAAACCGCGGACAGTGGTCAAAGGCAGAAATCAAGGGGACATTCAGAGAGACGAGATGACCATTGAGAGTCATGATTGGCGAGGTTTTAGGAATCATCTAAACCAAGACGGTTGTCTTGATCAACGGGGTGATACTTGGCAAGGTTCGAAGCGATCTCAGGACAGAGACGATTATCTTGAAGAACGGGAGAGTGATCGATGGCCTGCTCATGGGAGAAGTCCAAAACCCGTTTGATGAATGGGGAAAGGCTGGAAAGGGTCCCAGTGAGATTATTTGAGGAAAGGCGATGGAGTGAAGGGTGTGTAGTTGTGCGCTAGACTTCATACATGAAAGTTCTGTCAAAATCTGCCATAGTTCACGGGCAACATTGGACAAGCCTCAAACGGCTATCATAGGGCCCGTTGATCAGATGTACCGCCGGGCATCTTACCGAAAAGATTACCAAGTCAATTGTAGGCGAACTAACTCCCTTTACTTGTTTGAACGGCGAGTGACGGCGGGGATAGTACATACTCTGGTGGAGCGCAGTGAAGTCTAGTGCACTCAGTCATGTGGCTTGGTTGGCTTGAGTATGAGTTATTCAAAATCATAAGCACAACTCAGAGTTGAGCGTGCTGAGTAATTACAAGACTGTGAGAACAATGTACGGTAAAAAATCGAACACTTGCTGCAGTCAGAGCTCACCGGACGTCCGGCGCATTTCTGGCGGACATGGTGTATAGAGGGGGCCTTAAACAAGTCCTTTTGGGCCTTTCTTTGAAGGTGAAAGGATAACTCTGGTGCCAAGTTAACTTGAGCAGATAATTTACAGTCAAACTGAGACGCGCAGGTGGTCTTGAGCAACATTGACAACCCAAACCACTCCACCTTCCAGTAATGCTTAGACAGCACAAACAAAGGTTTTACTTGGGCAGCTTGGCTCACTTTTGCCTGCGCAGGACGGGCCCAGATTTAGGAAAATCACAAAAAAAAAACACATCTCGCAAGTTTTCAAGCTCACCGGGTGCCCAGCGCATTTTTGGCGGACACTGTGTACCTTGCTTCTCCCACAACTCCCACTTCTAAGACCACATTCCCTGCAAATCATCTCCCTCAATGATCATCTAACCCATAAATCACTTGGCAAAATATGCTACAAGCCATACTGTCAGAACCATGGCTGTGAATCATTCAAAATTCATGCCTCAAAAACGTCCCTAAACAATCTGTGTGTCCCTCTGTACAATATAAATTTACCGCACGGCTGGGGATGCTCAAAGGAAGTCCCTCTCTCAACTACTTGTTTGTCTGAGAGGAACTTAGTCATCTTAGGTCTTGGTGGTGTAAAATTCAAATACAGACATGGAACTGCAGAGTATATTGGATACTAGGGGGTTTCAAGCTCATTTTTTTTGCATAATCTTTATAAATTTTGACAAGTTGTTTGTACAAAAATTCTTGGTAAAACCTACATATCTTTAATTTGGGACACTTCAAAAGGTGTCCCGCTTTAAAAAAATTTACACATATTTTACAACAACGGGCAAGTTGTGATAGCATAAAAATACACAAAAAAAGCTAACTTGAGACCCCCTACTACAGTCAAACCCGCCCAATTGAAGTACAGGTTTCCTCTCTATTTTCTCTTTATTTTCTCTTACACTAATAACCATCCTACTCGTCCGCATTGAGCGTACTTGTACATTTCTTTTTATTCCTTTTGCTTCTTTGTTCCATGTCTCACAACACCGTATCAACCATTCCCAAAGCGGCGCATGAGAGTCACAATAATGTTAGTTTACGTAAACCTATGTCTAGAAAAGAGTCCTATAAAAGACGTTGTTTAGTGCAGTATCAGTTGTTTCCTCACTCAACATCTTATCGTCTTTTCACTTGCTACCTTCCAACAGGTGCATTTCTCTCTTCCATCACTCTCTCGTGATACCAGCCATAGCGCTTTACTTGATCACTCATACGTGATTCCTACCAGGTGCATTTCTCTCTTCCATCACTCTCTCGTGATACCAGCCATAGCGCTTTACTTGATCACTCATACGTGATTCCTACCAGTCACCTGGCTTTGCCTATTTTATCAATGCATACCTGCGCAGGTGCATAACCTGTGATAACGCATAGAAAAAATCATGAATCATGATGGGTTTTACTGTCAAATTTGACACCAAAATTGCATTACCCGTCAAAATGCATAGCAAAAGTAGTCCCCCCAAATTATGTGTTGCGCGGGTTTGACTAGATATCTTTAGCAGCTACATAGGGCTACACAAACTTGAAAGTTTCACATGAGTTCACATGGCTTCAATAACAATTTTGAAAGTTGTACACGAGGGCCTAAGCTTATCCAATTCCCACGCTGTGCGCTAGAAGCGTGTGAGAAGTGGCGTGGGTGTTGGATAAGCTTATGTAGAACCCAAAGTTAGGAAGTTTCCGGTTCAACTGTGTACATACATACCACTGTAGAAACGATCAGAAGCATTCTTATGATTCCCAATGGTTGGGAAACACGGCAACTCAGAGCTGTGGCCTTGGCCAACCATATGGGACCTACATACAGTCAAATTGGAAAAGCTTGACCGATTTTGCCCGCAAAACTCGAGCAATTTGGCGGGGAATTTGTGGCAAGCTTTTCTGGTTTGACTGTATTTGGATTGGACGGGCAGAATGAATGAATTTTGAGAGTCATAGGATGAGAATGAGAAGATTTAGATGCAAAGTGTAGAAATTAGAGAATGACGTATACAAGTTCAAGATTTTAATTTAAACTTGAGAGTGATAGATAGTCTGGAATGATAAATAAAATGTTTTTAGTAAGTAAACTCTTGTTTAGTGTGTGAGTGAGAAGAAAGAAAGCCGACTAATTTTGAAATGTTGGATGATAGAATCGAGCAAACTGACTGATCCAATCTACTTAACATAATCGATTATTAAGATTAATTAAATTTAATACTTTTTTATTTTTTATTTTTCATAAATCGTTTCTTTACCATTTACTGATTGCTGATGACTGACTTCTAATTTTTAAATTTCTCAACTTCTTAACTAATTCTTATCTCGATCCATCAGCTCAACTAATCCATCCAACCAACTTATCAATCGTTTATATGAAATGACCGAATCTAATCTTAATCCAACTCATCTTAATCAAACCAATCATCAATCAAAATCAAATCAATACAAAACTCATTCAGGTCTATTAGAAATCAGATTACCTAAATCATCATCAAGACCTCATTCACTTCGAAACTCAAAGATCACCAACACTCAATCAAGACATTCAATCAAGATCTCATCATCTCATCATTCTATCAAACAGAAACCATCATTGATACCTACTAAATCAAATCAAACTCGTCTACCTATACCATCCTCATCCTCATCCTCATCATCTTTAACTACTACCAAAACAACCACCCATCAGTCATCTCATCCTCAACGAATCTATGAAACTCATCAAGGTAATTTGATGTTTTGTTGGAATGGAAAACTAGTGACTTCAAGACCTACTAATTCGATTAAATTGGATTGGGTACCATTGATGTACTTTAAACTATTATCATGCTTCAATCGAAACGTCAAACCTGAAATCCAACAAGACATTCAATCCAAATGGATCTTAAACTTACCATTACAAACCATTGGTTCATTAATCTTAATCATCGGATTAGGTATTATCTTTTATATAGGCAATTCTCATAGTTTAAGTCAACATCCATTCGGAATCTTCATCTTGATTTGGTTTAGTTATAGTTGGACAATTTGTTTGTGTTCGATGGTCAAAACGATTATCACAGATCCAGGTGTGATACCTAGGTTTTTAGATCCTACACCTGAACTGGAATGGAAACCGAGTCATAGAGCTTCTAATTCGATTACAGCTTCAACTAATTTAGAAAAATCGGAGCTTCATTCACAATTACCACCACCACCACACACGACCATCAATTTAGGTGACTGGGAACTTTTACCTCGTTGGATCAAGATCGAGTCTAAAAAACCATTGAATCCGACACGACAAGGAACCCACGAGAATCGAGTAGAATCAGAAGACGAAACAGAAGAAGAAGAAGAATGGATCCAATCGAAATGGTGTTCGACCTGTTGTACATACCGACCCCCACGTTCATCACACTGTCGAATGTGTGATTGTTGTATCGACGGCTTAGATCATCATTGTACTTATTTAAATAATTGTATTGGATCTCGAAATTATTTATATTATCTTACTTTTTTGATCACGAGTGTTTTGAGCTTGGTCATGATCATTGGAACTTCGATTTGGAGGGTTTTGAACTTTCATCAGTCTAATCAAATTGGTAATCATCCAATCTCTGTGTCTGTCTTGGTGATCTCTTCAATCGTTTTGTTTCCAATCACTACTCTCCTGTAAGTCCATTCTTTTTCCATTGTATTTTCCACATTATGATATCAATCTGATTTGTTTCTTTTGTGCTGTGTGTGATTATTAGGTCGTATCATGTTTATTTAACTTTCAAAGGTTTAACAACAGTAGAACACATCAAAATCCAAGCACGTCAAACGATTTTAAAACAAACCCAAGCTTCGTCACATCAACGGTTCAAGAACTTACGAAAGTTTAAGTTTTCTAAAACCTTTCAAACCGGATTTTATTTGATTTTCTTAAGACTTTGTGGTCCTTTAAATCCAAATTCGATTCCTTGGGATGATCCAATCGATCAATCTTCTCAACTTTTAATCGATCCTTGATCTTTCTTTTTTGATGAACTCAATTAAAGCTTTTTCTTTTTTGCTTTTCTCTTTTTTGATTTTCTTCTTTTTGCTCTTTCTCTTTCTCCTTCTCTTCTTTTTTTAATAAAATTTTTATTATCCGTGTTTGTTTTATTTATAAAAATGAACCTTACCTTGTAAAACTATCTTAGCTTTTCTCTTTAAGCATGTAATTTTGCAATCCTTTAAAGCAACATATATCTAATCCAACATATATCACCTTTTCTTTTCTCATTTCTCGTTATTCTTTCGATTTTTCTTTCATCCTTTTCATACTCTTGTACCTGTAAATTCAATTTACATATATATCCATTAGCTTTATAAACACATTCCTTTTGTTTTGATTTTTTTTCGATTTCGTTCTTTTTTGGAAGATTTTCTCTCGTTCATTCACTTTTTTCTTTTTTTTTCAACGGAAAATATATTTTATATATTGATAATAATTCATATACAATTTACTGTATCCTACATCCTACATTTTGAACAAACGTTTGGGAAGAGGTTCGAGACGCGGAAGACTTTCTGAAATAAGAATGCTTACAGTTTTGTGAGATGTTAAAAGGCTGGACGACCCCGGAGGGCCTGAGCGAATTGCAATGAGAGAAAACCAGAGACCCTAGGGGCGGTCTAACTAAATAACACTACAATAAGAAAAAACTATAAGCCTAATGGGAGGGATGGTGGGAAAACAAAAAACGAGCTAAAGTTCTGTAAGAAGAAATAAGACTCTCCGCTTCCTCAACCCTTCGATTCTTCTGGATGATGGTATCAATTTTTGGCTCCATTTTCTTGGTAAAGGAAATGCGTTGACGCTCTTGTCCAACAGTAGTTCTCTCCTTCAGATTTTGTATAGACGTTTCTATGAAGCCAAAAGTTCAAATAATCGACTTTGTACGATTCCAAGTACTTTGGACCCCAACATAAAGGCAATTGGCGCACTCAACACGATTTGATTTGAGGTTGTAAGTCTTGGCTTTTGATACGCTATGTGAGCATCCCCAGCTAGGCATCTTTCACGATGTTTATCAGGTGAGTGGGGAACTAAAGGAGTTCTCGAAGCATCTGGAGAGATCTTGAAGAAGGGCCTTGATTAAGTGCCATGTCACATACATACTGTTTCGGATTTTAACGACACATTCAGTTGACCAAAGGCAAGTACAAACAAGGAGGCAGATCACCAAGAGATTCAAAAAATGTATGAAAAAGTCGGACATTGATCACGTCATCTCAAAAACGAACACTCAAGCCTTTTGAAGCTTTACAGGAACAGAGATAGTGTTTAACATAGGGGAAAAGGCATTCTAGAAAGCGCAAAATAGTCATAATGAGTTCAAAGAACTGCAGTCTTGAGTTGGCGAGTTTTCAAAAAAACAAAAAGTGACTCACCTTATCTAAGAAGTACTGCGAAAAGGTCAATCGGTAACTATAATAAGAAAATCGATCAAAACACAACAATCATTAGCTCAAAAGAATGCGAAGAAGCTGTATGGTAAAATTCTTACGTCTTGTCAAATCCATCCAAAAACTTATCTGCAGTGGGTAAAGTAACATCCCAGTAATACGTTTGTTCGTCCGACTTGTATGTTGCGCCGGCAGCTCCAGCTCCAAGGCTCGCTACGAGTGGACGGCCAAGGGAAGTGGGATCATTTGCAAACCCGTTGAGTCCAAGCTCCCAAGCGATCTGTGTGTCGGATGAAGAAGGAGCTATTGCGATCACATTGCCAAACAGTTGAAGAGCTCAGCCTGATGGGGTGCTAATTATCATTCCACATCTAGGGTACACTTACATTGAAACTGTAACTTGAGGGTCAGTTTTTGCCCCGGTTTGACAACTGTGTCTTGAGCAGGTGACACAAATCGTAACTTCTGGCCAGTAACTGTTGTAGAAAAGATTAACAATAATCCAGCGGTTAAAAATTTAAGAGTGTGCATCTTTGAAAACACGTTGAGGGTTTGATGGATGATGAAAGCGGGTGGGTTGGGGGGGAATTGATAGCTGAGGTTGTGTTGCTTGTTTTATGTTTATGTGTGAATGGTGTGAATGATGACCGAGTGGACAGATGTCCGAGAGAAATTCTTTCCAGGATTGCGCGACCTCTTGCGACAGCCTGAGCCTGCGTGGGACTTTGTTAAGTCACGATCTTTCATTTGTCTATCGATCAGTGATCAGACGCTGACAGATTCAGATCGAGTTCGGTCGCCGATTCTGCGCTGGCAAGGATGGAGATAGAAGCCCCGTTAAAGCTGTGTTGAAAGGTGTTGAACAAGGTTGTGCCCCTTGTTGCACATGCACGGTGGTTGCACAGCCCACTGAAATCTTTTTTAAAACAAATTGAAAGTGGTACATCTGCGCAATATGGCGGTGCGTGAGAAACAGAGCAAGGTTCGATGTTTGGGATTATTCAGTGGACAGATCAAAGGTTGAAGAAACATCTATATACGTACAAAGCGTCCGCTCGAAACCAATTCCCATCAACACAAACCACGATTCCTCCAACCATCCAAGTTTTAATCAGTTTCTGAACTCAACATCATATTATACGATAAATCTTTGCGCGACAGGATGAATCTTTGCAACTTGTTATTTGCTATAGCTTTGAGTACTTTATTACCATCGGTACTGTCTCAAAGATTGTCCATTACTTCTCCTGGGCCCAATGCGGTTGTGAAAGCAGGCGCTACCACGGATGTAGTACTTCACTTTGAATGTAAGAAGATTTACCAATTCATAAATTCTGATGAACCAAGCTTGACTTGATCACTTATCTTTTGAACAGCCACCACTTCCTCAGTAAAACAAGTGGCATGTACTCTTGGCTTTCGACCCGTTGGTGCCGGCAACGCCCTTTATGCTGCCACCTTAGTATTCGATGAATCTGGACCAAAATTCGAAGGAAGCACCTATACTTGGAAAGTGGCTTTACCGAATGCCGACAAATTCGGACAGGGAATCGGTCAACGGTTCGTGATGAACTCTACTCAAAAAAGCCTTTTTGTGTTCATAATAAGGGTACTCAAAGCAAAGTATGTAGCGCTACATACTTTTCGCTACATACTTTTTTTGGCGGGGACAAAGAAAAAAAATATACTTTTGGCCTCGCCTTCCCCGCCAAAAAAAGTATATAGCAAAAAGTATGTACACGTACATACTTACTTTGAGTACCCTTAATTAATTAATTTGAATCCAATTTTCTCGAAACTCTTAGTTACAATTTGACACTTTCTCAATTCTACTTGCTCGGTGTAAGTGTTTTAGGCTGTTGAATCAACAATCAACCGTAGAAAAGGCTGATGATCATTTAATCACAATTTTATACCACTTCAAATCGCCATTTTTTCCCTTGGATTCTAATCTGCAGGCTACGAACACCCCAATGGTTTCCGAGTTTGCTAATGTTGTTACTGTTCAATAAGATCTTGTGATGCTCTTGTTTCGCATACTGGGCAGCTATTTTTATTTTGCCAAACACAGTCCTTTGACAAAACTTAGCTAACATGATCACCTTGAGATCAGAATAATTCGTTCAATGCTTGTGGTAAAAGCCAGCTGAACGCATCTCATTCCATAGCGAGGTTGTCTACTGGAAGAAAGTTATGTAAACCACAACAACCGATGATCTTGATTTGATCTGTTTTGTTTGAATTCCAAGCAAAATCTTATATAAATCCTCCGAACCGTTGTTGCACACTGTTCTTCAATGTATGCTGCTCAATAGAAAGGACCGGTCCTCATTCCAATTTTAAGTTATCTGAGCCGAGTAAGACTTATCGCGGGGTGTCGGTTTGGGAGCATCGGGGTTTCGTATGTTTTGTGATAATTATCACATGATAATTATCATGTGATAATACAGATTCACGTATAGACATCACATGGTACATGCATAGCCTTGTAGCGCTGTTATCTCACCCGGGGCTTGCTGCGCACGGGGCTAGCACTCACCGTGCTGCCTCGATATGGCAACCTCCCCCAAGCCATAGCTACCTCGATACCTCCCCCATCCCCTCCCTTACAATGGTCCAGTCTTCTGATCTCTTTCGGATATGGTCGAAAAAAAATTTTGTGATCAAGTTTTTCACTCATCAAAACCTGTAGACGCCGTCCACCCCACCCATGTCCAACTTTTCCAAATTATTTCGTGGTTCCACCACTTCACTACCAGCACCAGCCAAACAATATGCCCAGCGAGCCGGGTCCATACATTGGGGCCAAATACCGACGAGTTCCCCAACACCCATTCTTACCGACACCGTATCCTGGCGCTAAGGTTGGTCTGGCTTGTCCAGAATGTCCAGGCAACGATGCGTCTCTAGTTTACATCCACGGGGGGGGAAGACATCATTAAGATTCGGGTGAGTACGATTATGACTTCGTCCAATCATCTAAACCATACTTGTGCTGATCTGTCACACCCTTTTTACAGTGCTCGACGTTTGACAAGCATTACTACCAAACTTTTAAACTCAACCAATTGAATCACGAGATAGCGTTGATTAACGCTGGCATCAAACACCCCATTCCCTACGATCCCTCTCAGCATGGACCTCCGGTGAACATAAACGGCGCAGTCGTACTCCCTCGCCCTTCGAATTCTCAGGATACCAATTTGACACGACCCAAACGGCCGCCACCTGCTATCAAATGTGCTCGCCCAAACCAAGGACCCACCGCAGCCAAACATAAAAGCGCCGGTAACGCTGGATGTGTCTTGGGCTATTGCAAATCAGTGAGTGGATTTTTTTTTTTGGGGGGGGTCGACTTGACGTAACTCTTCGTACGGTGTAGTGTTGCACAGATTTCAGTGCTCCCGGCAGTTGCTATGAACACCGCCCAAAGGGACCAAACATAGGTCAACGCCCTGCGCCAATAAACCCACCTCAACTCGCTCCTGCCCAAGTTGGTGTCGCACCCATCCCACCCAAGCCCATGGACTCCGAGCCCAAAAGACCACGTGGAATACCTCCCCCTCAGTGCTCTCAGAGTGTTCGCCGTGTTGGGCAGATCCTCCCCAAAGAGCACTTTTCGGCGCTGGAAAGAGCCAGACACGCACACGCAGCCACTTCGCGAAAGGCATCATGCCCCTCCATTGACAAAGGCAAGGTCGTCAGCCTTCACTTTGTCACCAAAGTAAGTTTCAGACATCGTAGCGGTACTTCTGGTCACACTGACACAATTTCAGGAATCACGAACTCCTGTGATTTCACATCTCTTTGACACATGGCCAGTGGCTGTTTTGGGAAAATGTGTTTCTCTGGCTCGTCAGGTCGAAGAGGCTGCAGGGCCTGCCTGGGATGGTGATGTCCTTGTATGGGATGAACTCGTGAGGAATTGGGTAGGTTCTATCTTGATATTAGCCAAAAGAACACATACAAGAACATTAATCATAACCATTCCTTAAATCATCGGTATTTCAGCGTGAAATACCCATGACACTCCCACACAGATACATCGCTACCGCACAAAATTTGGTGGTGTGTATACCCAGTCATCGAGCAGGCCTAATTCATGACCTTCAAGAAGTCCTAGAGAGTTTGGGACAGGGTAAACCATTAGTGCCCAACAATACGACCACCAATCTAATCAATTCATCTCCCACATCGACACAATCACCCAAATCTCTTGGAAACACTGCAGTTACTGCTACCTCTGATGAACCCGACAACAGAAATAAGGATGACTCTTCTCTCATAGACTCGCCTGATATAATCTCAAAAGAACTTCGATCCACTGTTAGTAAAGGCTCTACAGCGAATCTGTCAGGGTGGCTACTGTTATGACTCACGAATTGGTCTAGTCAACAGTGTCGTGAGAAGATCCTGACCGTTATTCCGCTGGGTACGGGGAATATGTAGAGTTATCTTTCTAGGAGGGAATACGTAGAAAGCTTATGATTAGTAATTGCTATTCCGAAATTATACTTAACAAGTAAGTCTTGTACTACAGGCCCACTGTAAGGTAACAGAAGTTGGCAGGTCACGCCTGAGCCGTAGTTATCTCTAACTCGAGAGTTAAGAGCAGCCTGAGACTTTGAATCTACAGGGATCCCGCCAACAATATAGTTGCGAGACCTGGGTCCTTGACCAGAAGAGTAGAAGAGAAAGACTAACCGTTAATTATGTTTAACGAATAGGACAACTCGGTGGTTTTGTTATAACTATATAGAATAGCAAGGTATGACTCTGATTCTATAACTGATTTCAAAAGGGAACTAATGTGACTATTCTTTGGGAATTTCTTATTAGCTAGTGATCGAAAAAAGAAGAGTATTCTAATTAGATAATGGTGTAATCTAGATAGAATTTTGGGTTTGTAAAATCAGGTGAGTCCCTTCTTATTTTTGATTAGTCGTCCAGTATTTATACCTTCTTTTCTCAGTCATCCTCTTCTCAGAATTCTGACTCTAGCTTTGGTCTGCTTATTTCCAAGCTAGCTCAGCATCTCGTCACCGCCGTCTTACTAAGTCGAGGAATACTACGTATGTATTTACGTATTTTCCTTATATTGATCAAATAGTTCTCAGCGTTTGTTTCTTGGCATTCTACCAATATTTTACCTAATATTGTTGATTTTACTCGTCTGTTCAGGAGTTCTAGTCTTCGGTCTCCTCATTCCTTATTCACTAATCACGGACTTTCTGGTACCGTTCTTCTTTGGCTTATCTTTGAATGTAAGTTCTGGTCCGGCCTAGTGTTCCTCTTTGGGTACTCTTATCTAGCTATACATTAATTTCATATGCTCTCCTGTGAGTGTTCTAACTCTTACTTTGGTTTTTGTATATTCGTGACTTTTGATACTAAGTCTATACGGTGTTTTTGTTTGTTTCTTCGAAACGGGTATGTTTGTGATTTGTATATTTTATTTCGTATTGTTTATTAGCTCTTTGGTGTTTTCAATACTTAGAAGTTTCTTGACCTTGAAACTAGGTCTATAAGTTGTATATATTATAAGTGTAATCTAAATGTTAAATGATATATGAATTTTTATAATTATTGTAGCTCTTCTGGTTCTTATGTGTAAGAGCTCGAGAGCTGACATTCCCCAACCTCAGGGGTGTAATCTAATGACGCCCCAACCTCAGGGTTGTGCCCTAGTTTCTCGTCTCTCTACTCTGAACTTTCTGAGGAATCTATCGGAGTCTGGTATGTCTTTGGCTTCCAACCATTTGTCTTCATCCGTGTCTTTCCCTTTGAAGCGTGCCAAATAAAGTCTGGTGCTTTTCCCATTAACTTTCACGTATTTATCGCCGATTATCTTCTTAATGGCTCCTATGTTTTCTTCTTCCATAGGTGGGTCTATCTGTTCGACTTCTGTTCTATTAGGAAATTTGCTCTCATCTGATTTTTTGTATTTCTTTAACAGTGAGACTGGAAACGTTGGGTGTTTCCGTGCCAATTGTCCTGTTAATATAACTTCTACTGCGTTTGTCCCGTGTAAGGCTTTAATTACATAGGGTCCTATAAATGAGTCCTTCATTTTCCGTGGTTCTTGCAGATTTGTGAAATTTACTGTAGATATTAATACCAGGTCCCCAATCTTAAATGATGGCTCTTTATGCGTCTTATCCCAACGTTGCTTATTATACTCTTTTGCAGCTATTATACAATCGCCGGCGTGTTTTCTTGCTTTTTCCAACATGTTATGGAAGTCCATTGCTGTAGGATGGAACGTTGACTCTTTGTGTCGTATCATTTTTGACGGAGTTCTAATGTTAAATCCTCTCTCCACTTCAAAGGGCGATTTTCCCGTAGTGCTATGTACGCTGGTATTATACGCGATCTCTAAGGCTGGTAACAAGCTCTTCCAGTCATGCGTGTATCCATTATTGTCCTTGAACTCAAGACCAAATGCGCAATATCTCCTTATGAGGTCGCTGAGACTCTCAATCATGCGTTCCGCCAAGCCGTCTGTTTGCGGGTGGTACGCTGTAGACATCGCTAATGATGTTCCTGCTAGGCTGAACAATCCCTTCCAGAATTCCGAAGTAAATTTCGGGTCCCGATCACTAATGATCACCCTTGGTAAGCCTGAGTCTGAGACTATTCGTTCCCAAAATAGTAGTGCTACGTCCATGGCTGTAGCAGCCTTGTGGCATGCCAAAAATCTACAGCGTTTCGAAAATCTATCCACTATGACTAGGACACAGTCCACATTGTCGTGTCCAGCTGGTGGCAATCCCGTTACAAAGTCCATATTTATGACTTCCCACGGAATCTGGGGTTCTTCAATATGTTGAAGGAGGCCTAGCCTCTTTCCTGTAGCTCTATTTGCTTTTTGGCACCTATCGCAGGAGCTCACATAATCTTCTGTAAGAGCCTTCCAACCTGGCCACCAGGCTATTTGTTTGACTCTCTCAATAGTCCTTTCACTGGATAAGTGTCCTGACATGATATCATCATGGCATACTTTAAGTATATCTGTTTTAAGTCTCTGCGAAGTTATAACCATCGCACACGAGTGTTTTTCTCGGTGATACAGGATCCCACTGAGTAAGGTAAACCTGCCCTCGTCGAATGATTTCTTCCATTCTTTATCTAAAGATGATGACAGATCTAATGCTTTGCACCCTTGTCTCATTATACTTAGCAGTTTCACTGTGTTTGGTTCTTTTGTATAATCATGCATGACCTTATCGTAGAATTCCTCTGACAAGTCTGATATTGTAATTCCCATAATCGGCATATCTCGACCAATATCCTCGGGATCCCATGCCGGGTTTTCTATGTCGTTTTCTAGTGCCATCCTACTCAAGGCGTCTGCATTCTCATGTTTCTTTCCTTCCCTATGGGTTATTGTCATGCATGATCTGTACTCTTGAATAGCTATCTGCCATCGCAGCATATGTCTATTAGGAGTTTTCATGTTCAGAAGTGATTTCAGCGCTGTACAATCAGTTATGACTTCGAATAAGGCCCCATCTAGATAGTAGTGAAACTTCTCCAGTGCCCATACTAAGCACAGATTCTCTAGCTGAGTGGCCCCATATAAGTTTAGTTCGGATTGTTTCAATTTTCTTGAAATACAACTGATCAATCCCTCAAAGGGTTTGCCATCCACAATCTGGATCTGTTGCAGTGTGGCTCCTAACCCATCAAAGCTTGCGTCAACGTACACTTTAAAAGGCAGTTTGAAATCTGCATGAAGCAGGAATGGAGCCTCTGTCAACTTCTTCTTTAGTATATTCCATGACGCTACTCCATCTGCCGTCATTTCGAATGTTACCCCTTTTTGAAGTAATTTGTACAGCGGTCCGCTGGCTTTGGCAAATCCCTCCAAGTGAGACCTATAATAGTTCGCGAATCCCAGAAATTGCTGGACTTCTTTAACTGATTGCGGGATTTGTTTTTTGAGTACCGCTGCCACTTTATTCTGATCTACGGCAATCCATAAACCTGAAACTACATGTCCTAATGCTTTCAGTTCCTCAAAGGCGAAGTTAGTCTTCTGTAAGGATATCGTCATCCCCATTCTTACGAGTTTCTTAAAAACCAGTTCTAGTTTTTCTAAATGTTCTTCCCATGTCTCAGAAAAAACAATTATGTTGTCTATATAGATAATCAGCCAACCTTCACTCAGTTCTGCTGCAAACTCGGTATCCATCATGCGTTGAAAATGTGCCGGTGCACCTTTAATACCGAATGGCATTTTCAAATACTCGTGAATCCCCATGTGAGATATGATTCTTAGCAAGTATCTAGTCAACTCGTCTACTTCGTTTTGATGGAACCCCTTCATTACATCCATAGTCGTGATGTACATGGCTTTCCCTAGGTTCGTCAAACAATGGCTAATCCTGGGCATAGGATATCTGTCCGGTATTGTAAAAGTATTAAGTGCACGAAAGTCACCACACATTCGGGATTTCCCGTTGTGCCAGGCAATGATGACTGGTGTCGTTACATCCACCTCTTCATCTGCCCCTACCTTCCGCAAGATACCATACTGAACAAGTTCATTGATGTGCTTCTCAATCTCATCTCTGCTACGAGGGCTAGCCGGGTACGCCTGTTTTTTCAGTATTGGAGGATACGGTTTCTCAATATTGAGCCTCCGTTTAAGTTTATGACCTTTGATAGTCCCTATTGGGTTTTCGCCGTATGTGAAAGCCTTTTTATACTTCCTAACCACCGCCTGTAGGGAGTACAATTCCGTAGCTTTCAATCTAGGAGAGATGTTACATTCTCCAAAAGCTTTCTCAAAGCTTTCGTCTAATTTTAATGATACTGCTGCTATTTTCTGTTCTCTCGAAGAGTGCAACAGAAACTTCTTCCTTTTGTTTTCATTGCCAATTGTAAAATACTTTTCTTTACTGTGTACAATATCAAAGCCGTATAGTCTAAGGAACTCTCCTCCCAGTATAAAGTAGTTTGATGTTGCATTATCC